TGTTTGAGTATTGCTTAAAGGAATATTATTTCAATTAAATCAATTCAGTTATATTTGCTATAGCACCAAATCATAACAGAAGTTATCTCAGAAACACTTTCCATATTAGGGCAGGTCCTAGGCCGTACTCCTTGTATTTAACATTATTTACAGGATTGACCAACAGTTCCCACCATTTTGAGCAAGGAATTGGCAAAACTGCCTTTTGAGAGGCAGAACCTTAGACTAGACCCTTGGGGTTGCTCGTCTGCCTTGACCGTTGGGGGTGACGAGAGAGAGAGAGAGAGGGAGAGGAGAGAGGAGAACAGAGTAATGACATAAGTAGGACAGGAGGGACAAAGGTTGCACAGCAACAATAGTAGCAACAACTACAATAGATTGTATGGGACTGATGTTGATGGATGAACATGAAGAAATGATGACGACGACGGACAACAATGGATTGGGGGGACAATGGAGCAGTGATTATGTAATAATAGCTTTATCTGTAGTATAATAATCAGTAATAATAATGAATAACAATAATATCAAGTGGGATATTAGTAATGGCAGTCAAGCAGGACCATGGCCAGGAGGCTCACCAGGATCCATGAGAACTGTTGAAACGGAGAAAGCACAAAGAACTGTGGGGAAGAAGTTGCAGTTTAGTACATGCATTAAGAGACATGATGGAGTGCAGAAAGAGAGAGAGAGGCAAGGAGAGCGGAGCTCAGTGCATCATGGAACTCCCCCGATAGTCTAGGCCTATAGCCAGCATTGAACTAAGGGATGGTTCCAGGCTCACCTGATCCAGCCCTAACTATTAAGCTTTATCAGAGAGGAACGCTTAACCTTAACTCTTAAATGTGGGAGGTGTCTGGGCCTCCCGAACCAAAACTGGAAGCTGGTTCCACAGGGGAGAGGAGGTTGTATTGCTGCGGTTTGGCTGTTTGTCGCTGCTCGCTGCTCCCCTGTCGCTTGCTGCTGTCGTCGTCGTCACCGTCTTTTTCCATTGATCGCTCATCGATCATTACTGCTTATTGTTAGTTGGTTGCCTTCTGTTGTTGCTGCTACATCCTGTTTGTTCTCTCTGTCTCTCTGTCTCTTCTCTTCTCTCTCTCTCTCTCCTCTCTTTCTCTCTATTCCTCCCCCAACTGGTCAGGCCAGATGACCACCCACCTAGAGCGAAGGCGGGGTCTGTCGAGGTTTCTTGCCTGGTTAAAAGGGCAGTTTTTCCTTGGGCGCCCCGTCGCCAATGCTTGCCTCGATGGTGCCGTTACTGTTGGTCTCTGTTAAATGTTATAAGGAGGTTCGGTCTGACCTGCCTCTATTTGAAAAGTGTCCTGGAGATAACTTCTGTTATGAATTGGCGCTGATACAAATTAAAATTGAATTGAATTGAATTGAATTGGTAGCTGAAGGCTTTTTGGCTTCTGTTTCTACTTTTTAGAGACTATAGGAACACAAGTAGGCCTACATTCAGGAGAGATGAGTTTGGGTCTAGGAGGGGTAAAGGGTACTATGAGCCATCTTTGAGATTATGGGGAGGGGCTGGCACCATGGAAGAGCTTTGTAAGGGAGGGGAGGAGGATTTTTAAATTCTATTCTGGAATTTACAGGGGAGCAGTGCAGGGGAGCTAATACAGGTGAGATATGATCTTTTCCTAGTTCCTATAACTCCATGCTGAGACGTTTCTGAATTACATTGGACGTCTTAATGGATCTCGTATGTGGGGGCAGGCCTGATAATAAGAAGTTGCGTAATCAGGGCTAGTAGGTAACAAATGCATGGGGATTCGTTTTTCTGTATCCCGTCTGGTGACAGGATGTGGTCTAACTTTTTGTAATATTACGCTAAGGTGAAAAAAAGCAGTCCTAGGAGGTCTGCTTTATGTGAGAATAAATTAACTCAAGATTTACCTGGACAGTGGTGGCTGAGGCCCAAGGTAATACTATCTAGAGCTATCTTTAGACAGTGAGTCCTAAGGTTTTTTTGGGGCCTGAGACACAGAATTTTCTTTTTTCTCGTTTAGCATCAGAAAATTGCAGGCTAGGTTTTTATGTCCTTAAGACATGCTTGTAACTTAGATAACTGATTAATTTCATCGGGCTTGATCGACAGGTATAACTGGGTATCATCTGCATAACAGTGAAAGTTAATAGAGTGATTCCTAATAATATTGCCTAAGGGCAAATTTCCATCATGTACTACTTGAAATTATACTTGAAATTATTATTTGTCAGCTCCACAATTTTCCTAATACATATACACTATGTGGCCAAAAGTCAGCAGACACTCCTATTTTGTTCAGGCATTTCAGCCACATCCATTGCTCAAAAAGGTGCATAAAATCACAAAGCCAAGAATCAGGTGTAAGGAGCTCAGTGACTTTAATGCCTGACTTCTTCTAAATCACTTCTTAAAACCCATTTTTATAGACTTGCCTTCATGTGATGTTGTCTTTTTATCTTCTATTTTCTTTTTATGGCTTCTTCTCTTATTATTATTCTTATATTATTATTTTGTGTATTTAGCTTTGTCTATCAAAGTTATTATTATTATTATTTAATGAATGCCGTCTTTGCCACATAAGTGCTATTATTGTAGTGGCAAATGGACTGCACTTATATAGCACCTTTCTAGTCTTTCGACCACTCAAATTCACCCATTCATACACATTCACACATTGATGGCACAGAATCGGGATGGGGTTCAGTGTCTTGCTCAAGGACACTTCCAAATGCAGCGGGAGGAGCTGAGGATCGAGGAGGTGGTAGACCCTGCAGACTCACAGAGTGGGGCCTGAAGTGCTGAAGCTCACTAAAGTTCCAAACTGCCTCTGGAAGTAATGTCAACAGCAAGCTCATATAGGTGTGAAGGCCAGGTGTCCACTGGGTTCTGGCCATATAGTGTATACACTGATCAGCCATAACATTATGAGCACTAAAAAGTAAAGTGAATAACACTGATTATCACAGTATCGTGGGACCTATCAGTGGGTAGGATTTATTAGGCAGGGACCCAGGTTGTCATAATGTTATGGCTGATCGGTATATATTAAAGAAAAAATTACAAAAACACATATTTTCTCTCTCTGCCCCTGTGGTGTCCAGTCATGCAGATAATTTCAGTTGCTTCAGTTATGCTGGTGAATTTTGTAGGACAATTTGCTCTGGGATATATGGATATTTTTGAGTGACTGTGGCTCAGATGTAAAGCGGGTCATCCACTAATCAGAAGGTTGTTTGTTCAATCCCTGGCTCCTCCTCGCTGTATGTCGAAGTATCCTTGAGCACTGAACCCCATATTGCTCCTGATGCTGTGTGAATAAGTTAGTTTCTGTTTTGCCATCGCTGTGTGAAAGGTAGTGGTCCAAAGACTAGAAAGACGCTACAAAAGTACAGTCCATTTATTATGAATACAAACTACATTTAATGCTGGTTGACTTTTCCCAAAATAAAATCTCAGATTCAAAAGTTCTACTGAAATTTAACAAATGGGGTATCTATTTCAGTCGGCTTGAGATAGTTTTATGTTGCTTAAATGTATTGTGTTTGCTTATTTTTGCTTTGCTTTGCTTAAATCATTATATCATATTACAAACAAAAAAACATCATGCCAAATTCTGCAGATTTTCATTCAGGGTAACCGTTGCACATTCTATTTAGTCTGCTGATCACTGAGGGGCTCCTTACACATATCCATATTAGAGCCCAATACAGATTTTAAAAGGGAAAAAAGTTACAGGGAACAGATAATTGCAGCTGATATAGCGAATTCATAAACTAGAATGAAAATAGATCTTTTGTCATTTTTCACCAGAAGAAAACAGTTCATATTTCATATATACGCGAACTGTAACACCAATATATGGAAGCCCATTTCCGCCAATGTTATGTGGGGAAAAAAGATTGTGAAAAGCATGAGAAACTATATTACTATAATAAAAAATATTTTGACTTTGCATCTCAAAATGATTTATGATCTACTACACAAGGTCATTATTAAAATAATGACCTTGTGTAGTCATTATTTTGAGATACTAACTCAAAATATTGTTCATCAATATCGACATACCTATAAATCCATACCATTTATTCGGATATCCATACTGAGGGAAAACAGTCAATGACATTTCTCATTTGCCATCATTTACTACCAGGTGAAGGGACGGCCCGTTTACTGATTTTGCTATTGGCCAATAATAATGTGTAGCATCAAGTCACAAAGATCCTGTCAATGCATATAACTAATCTTACTCATCAAAAACATCTTGCTTTTATTTTGAAGACACACTGACAACATTTCCGAGATTCTGCCGGATAAGTGGCGCTAACATGCCGCAACTGTCAGCGTCCAATCCACGCAGCCGCTTCCTGGTGGTGGTACTCGCCTCGATGCTCCTCTCCCGGGCGTACGGCGCCTAGCGGTAGACATAGTAATTTACAACTGTAGCGTAGCATCCTCAGCTGTCACTTTTATCACATAAAAACGCCTGCTCTTATTTGTTTGTGCCCATGAGGACCAAGCATCGTTATCCGTTCTGAACATAAGCAGGAATACACATTTTAAAAAAACTTGTCAAAGAGCAATGAGTCGTTTCCAAAATTACACTCAGCTGTGTTTGCTGTCTTGAACACACCCCGCTTAGTACCCCGATATTGTTCAAGGGGAATAATGGCTGCACAGGAGCCGTCTCCACCATCTTCCCTGGAAGGCAACAAACCGGGCTTCCCAAAGAAAATTCTGGCCAACAACCTCGAAGACAAGCACTTGTGCAATTCGTGCCAGAAAATCCTCAGAAGGCCTTTACAGGCTCAGTGTGGTCACCGCTTCTGTTCGTTCTGTTTCAACAAAATTGTGAGGTGAGTAGTGTCATGGTTGCTAACGAGCTAGCTAGACGCGTAGCCTGTGTGAGCAATCAGTGCTCCTCACCAAACCTCCTTCAAATAACTGCCTATGTAATACTGCCCGGCTTATTGTCACCGGTAATACGGCGTACGACCTACAAAGACAAGTTACGATATATATATAGGTAAGACCCTCTGAATAAATCGGTGTACAGATAATTAACCAATCACCACTTAATCCCAATCAAATCTCAATTTGTGTGATGGGTTGGCCAGGTGTCCGTCCTCCCAGTCAGGTCCCGCTAACCCCTGCTCTGGTTGGCCGGAGCAAGCAGTGGAAATGTCGGAGACCTAAACTTAACAGTGTGGTTTTAAGTAATATCAGGTTGGTATGTATGCCGAATTTACTAGAAGGTTAAAGTCTTTATAACATATTTTACTAATTGCGTATCTATGTCGATAAGTGAATCGACATTAAACTAGGCATTTTTCATGGAAGTTTAAGACGACCTTTATCCATATAGTAGATACCGTGACCTGACGAGAGCCTATCCAGGGGCGGATCTAGTGGGCATGAACCCCAGCCGCCACCCCAATTTAGTGTTAAATTTAACATATTAATTTAGATGAATAATAATACTGACATATGGCCAATAAATCAGGTAACTTGGTAACAATTTATATTAAGATACACAATAAATATTTGCTTATTAGCATGCATATTATGAAGAGTGATAGGAAATGGGGGAGAGAGAAGGGATCACACTCAGCAGCTGCAGTAAGGACTCAGTTTAACCTCAGTTACTTGCAAATTACTGCTTTAGTTAAGTAATGAACTTGTTATACAGGAATTCTAATCTTAATATGTTTTGCTTAGTATCAGCAAGTCGACACTTAATTCCCAGATCCGTGTTGTTGCAACCAATACAACAGCATCCAGTCTAGTTGCAGAGAGAGAGAATCATGAATAAATAACGTTACATTAGTGAGCAGCAGTTGAAAAAAATGATACCAAAGAGTTTTCTTTTGTTCCGTAGTTAAAATGGCACTCCATTTGGTGAATTATGACTTAAGACTGGAAAAGCAAAGTTTAGGACTTGGAACTTGACTGCAAAGACTTGAGGCTTACTTGCGACGTGCAAAACAATGACTTGAGTCCTATTAGCACAGAACTGGCATTACCAGGGGACCTATAGTCATTTTGAATAATTTCAGGTCGTCTGTGATCTTTATCCTGTGTGAATCTGCCATTTCTGTCATTTGTAAAGTAAAAATTGCACTGCAGATTACTGACCATATTTCACCAAAAACAGATGTCCTGTGATTGGTGAAATAGGCATCTTTGTGATTTGGGGTCATATTTTGTATTTTTTTGTGAGCTATCAAACTGGTATTTTAATACAACAGAGAGGAACTTAATGTGACAGGGGAAGAAATATAGTGCTGCACATAAATAGACGGACGATCAGTACACTTCCTGCAGCTGTCTCCAGTGTCAGGCTTTTCCCCACTGTGCAAATGCCACAGTCATAAGTAAATAAATAAATAGTTAACAGGTTTGCACACACAGCACTCTCCAACATCACAAAGCAACTTTTGTGCATTTACTTTTCTATAGAATGGCATCTAGAACACAATCTACTGAAACATGCAGAGAAATATAGCTTTTTTCAGCCAATTCTAAAACATGTTTGATATAGTATGAATCTTACAATAATGTCATTTACTGAATGTATCTGGGTTTTAACATCTGTACTGATATTCTGTTTGCTCTCCACAGCTGGCTGTGTGACACATTCTTTTCTTTGACTTTATTATGTGAAGTGTGAATGTGCTGCATGAAACACAGACAAGGTTTTTTTTTAAATCACACAAGGTCCCCTGATAATACTATTCCTGTACAGATAGGGCTTTGGTCCCTCCTCTAACAGTATCTATACTAATGTAAATATTTACTTTATCTCCCTTTAAGTTCTGGACCACAGAAATGCAGCGCTTGCATCAAAGAGGACTTGTTTGAAGAACCCACCTCCATTCTCAAGCAAGGTGGTGTAAGTAAATGTTTTAGTCTACATCTTCTTCAGAGTTTCTCACAGTTACATAAAGTACAGCATTAGTATGCACTTAAGATCGCTAGTTTAACATCATGAAGAGTGTGTCATTGGGAGTAGTGTTCAGCCAGGTTTGGTATTTTGGGGTTTTAGGGGATGAGGGCCAACATTTCTCTGGATCTAAAAACCCTTAAAATAAGCCCAAAAGTCAGCAATGTGATGTTACGGTCATTGTGTGTTTTCTAGTGCCAACACAACATAAAACTGTGTGAATGCTCTTTAACTCTTGGCAGCGTAGACAATAGATGGAGCAACTCATATATGAGTCTCATATGTGTTGGAGAAATTGGAGCCAGGAGAGAAAATTGAGCTCCAAGTATCCTGCTCCTCAGTAAACTGATGCAGTGTTTGTAACACGACCCTCCAGACTGGAACTGAAGACACCAACCAGACCACAGCTGACAACAAGCTCTGCTTCTCCCTGCAGGCATTCCCTGACAATGCAGCTCGGAGAGAAGTGGAGGCCCTGGCAGCCGTCTGTCCCAATGAAGGATGCACGTGGGCGGGGACGATTAAAGAATTTGAGGTGCACACTATTGCAAAGAAGGCTGGGAAATGATGTCCATTTAGTTTTGGTGTATTTGTTTGCTCTTCTGGCCCGTGACTGGGACTGGGGAGGGGTTTGTGTGTGTGTGTG